AGTGTACATCATAGGGACCAGTCGTTCTGCTGTTCAGTCTATTTGCATATTAGCCTTTTATTATATAGGATAATAATCTGATAACATGACTAAGTAGAAAACTTTTAAAAGATATATGTAAGTTAATTTGGCAAGGAGTCAGGATATAAGGTCAATAAACAAAAGTCGCCTGGCCAGTGTGGCTCAGCTGTTGAGCATTGACTTATGAACCAGGAGGTCATAGTTCAATTCCTGGTCAGGGCACATGCCTGGGTTGTGGGCTCATTCCCTATGCAGGAGGCAGCTGATCGATGATTCTCATCATTGATGTTTCTATCTCTCCCTTTCTCTCTGAAATCGATAAAAATATATTTTAAAAAATCAATTGTATTTCTAGCTATTATGTATGAACTAGAAATTGAAATTTTAAAATAACACAGTAATAGCAACACATAAACTTTGAGATACTAACAATTTTTGTGCAAGATCTGAATGCTAAAGAAACAAAACACTGATAAAAGAAATCAAAGACCTGCATCAATGGAGCAATATGCTGTACTCATGGATTGCAGGACAAATATTAAGATGTCCACTCTCCCCGAACTGGTTTATGGATTCAATGCAATCATCATCAAAATCAAAGTTGGTATTTGTTTTCTTGTTAACAGGCTGATTCTAAAACGTCTATGAAAAGGCCAAGGAACTGAAATAGCAAGACAATTTTGAAGAAAAAAAAGGTTGGATTACTTGCTTATGTAAAGCTAAAGCAATCGAGGCAATGCAGGATGGGTGAAAGCACCAACTAATGGAATAGTTCAGAGACGTAAGTGTCAACTGATGTTTTGACAAAGGTGCATAGGAAAATGATGCATAATTTTATGATACATTCAAATGGATCCCAGCCCTAAATGTAACAACTGAATACTATTAAACTTTTATTACCACTTTAAGTTAGGCAGATTTCTTAGATAAGCATAATGCATTAAAGAAAAAGTTGGTAAAGTGGACTTTGTGAATTTAGAATTTCTGCTTTTCAAAAAGCTGTTAAGAGAATGAAGGACAAGCCTCAGACTGGGAGGAAATACTTATAAAGCACATATCTGATAAAGGTCTGTATCCAGATTATACATATTAATATCTGGTTAGAAATATGAAAAAACAAACTGTGTTATTTTTAACTTTTTCATATTGACAAAGGTAAAACATGGGATTTTAAGTGTTGATAGGTTCTTGGGCCCACAGTGAAATGACATATAACAAAACCAGTTTTACCATAGGCTAATTTCCCATGGCATCTCCTCAACCTTACAATGAAAAGACATTCAAAACCCCGTTGCACTTGTGATGCAACTTCCATATTTGGAAGGGAAATCTGACTTTATTTCTAGGAATGTCACCTAAAAATCTTACACATCACAACTGGCATGCATGTTTACTACTCCAATGCTTAAACTTGCAAAAATGAAAACAAAAATCAGTCTTGACAACAGGGACTGGCTAAATAACAGATGATCCATAAATGTGAGGCTAGAAGAAAATCTTGCTTAAAGAAAATATTTGATATAGGAAACTGCTCAAAATACAGTTGTGGAGAAACAGGACATTAAACTGTATACACAATTCCATTAAAAATGTATACTCACAAGAGAATAAAAAATATGCAAACATGAATGGTGGTTCTGAATTAGATTACTGGTGGGTTGTTCTTTTTTTTTTTTGGTACTTTCTGAACATGTATTCAGACCATATAAGTTTTAAAAGGAATTGACAGTCCTAAGTTTTATTAGCATAAATGTGCAACATGAAATTCTTGTTCTTATAAGGAGAAAGCTAATAAGGATCTGATTTTGCAAAGGGGTAGGCAGACTGAGTAATCTCTGATTGAAAGAAAGGGCAGCCCAAAACTTCCAATTTAATTTTTGCTGCTTCTGCATTAAAATATGACATCATATTGACATTTGGGTTCTCCCTCCATTACTGGGCCTTCAAGTTCTCACTCCAGGGTCGTGTTATTTGAGCATAAATGTTTTGGATTTCCTCTTTATTTAGTTCCCAATTTTGTTTTTAATTATGAAGTTCTTCCAGGAAACAACCTGTTTGTTCTCAATACCTGGTAAATCCTTTTGAAGACTTGACTGTTGCCCCCTAGTGGGAAAGTCCTCAAATAACTTGTTGCTGTTCACATAATGGTAATTAACAAGTGTAAAACATTAAAAACTGCAAATACTAGCTTTTCTCGTTATGCCAGTTTAGGTCACCAAATTCCTTTTGGAGGAAACTAATCTTTGTAGTGCCTTGTGTTTGTTAGGGACTGTGTTAGGAGGACCTTTTATATGTTACCAGTGGCCCGGTGCACAGATTCGTGCACATTGAAAGGAAATCAGGAGCCCGCACCCATGTGCCCAGGGAGTTTCCACGTCCCTGTGAGCCACGAGGAAGTCAAGTGGGGCATCTGTCCTCCTCCCTGCAGCTTCCTGAAAAAGTATTTCCAAATGTCCCTTCTGCGGCAGGGTCGCACCTTGCAAGCCGGGAGGTCCCCTTGGGCCGTGCTGAATACTTTCCACCACTTGGAGCTGGATAAGAGGTGCTCCAAGGTGAACAATACAAAGTTAGGGATCTTGGTGGGCAGGGTGCTCTGTTGCCCATGCCCCCACCCTTCCTATCCATCTCTGATTTTTACCCTGTCAGTTGCTATCTTGTGGCCACTGTTATATTGCTGCCTTCCTCTGTAGCTCTGGAGCAATAGGTAACAGATGAGATTTGATTTTGATGCTCCAGGCAGAGTTCCAGGAGCCCAGTGGCCACACTTCAACCATTTTCCAGAGACTGTAACTGCAGGCTTATGGGATAGAAGGGATGGGGCCAGGCGCCGCTCTGCTCCCGTTCACCCTGTCCCCACTGCACCTGCCGCCACTGCTGTCACTCCCGCCTCCGCAGCTGTGCATGCCAGCCATGAGCCTGGCTTCTGGCTGAGCAGCGTTCCTGCTGTGGGAGCACACTGACCACCAGGGGGCAGCTCCTGCATTGAGAGTCTGCCCCCATTGACCAGTGTGTGTCATAGTGACTGGTCACTCCAGTCGTTTGGTTGTTAAGGGTCACTTAGGCTTGTATATATATAAATATATAAATATAAATATATATATATATATAAAATTTATTTAAGCCGATAAAGTGGGTATTTCTTAATTCTTATAGGATACAAAGTCTAATACCACTATGCAATGAAATGTCAAGTAGAAAAAATTCAATTGATCATTACACTTAAAAAATATCTCCAAAAAAAATTAAAAAATATCTCCAGCATTTGAGAACACCCCATGACTTTGTAAATGCACCAAACATTCGAGTTATACTAAATTGATTTATAATGTCTTGACTTCATATGCATAATTACCCAATGAAGCAAGGTCAGTTTCCAAGCTTGGGGGGTGGGGGGTAGGGGCGGCGTGTAAAAAACATTTTTAACCATGGTAATGCATACACAATTAAATTATCAACCATCTGAACAGATACTTAAGTTCCCAAATACTAAAGAAAAATGACTTGAGTCTGGATTACCTAGCATACATCTTTTCTTTGGGGGGAGAGGGAGAACTTGATTTTGTTCTTTCTAAAGTGAACATTACTATCTCCACTTGAATTTACTGTATATGGTAGAAAAAAGCACACTGAAGCAATGTTCCCTAAAAATATTTCACTAAAAATACTTTTATCAGTTTTAGCTTTCACATATAATTTTCTATGAAAAACATTTTCATTTCTAGTTTTCTTTAGAAATAACTGTAAACGGAAAAATCCTCACTTAATTTGAAAGGAAAAGTGTATTTCTTTTATTCCAAGACTAACAGCTTCACAAAAAAGATTAATATCCAGTAGTTATATAAAAACGTATTGATATACAGACTTATAAAGTAACTAATGCCCAGCCACTAAAGAAAGATCAAAGGAGATTAACAGAATGAGTTTTCATATTATTTTTTAAAAAGGTTACGACAAAAGTAGAATATGTTTGTAGGTATCAAGAGAATAGAATACAAGCAAGTTGACAAGACTAAGTTTATTCTAAGTATAATTTTTATTAATAAAAAGATTAACCATGACCATGAGTGGCTGGGCTTATAGTTTGCTACACCAAAGAAATTAAAAATTGATAGTTAAGAATATTGTTACAATAATTTATAATATAGCATTCCTTTATAGAGGCATTTTAATTTTAGCAATGTTTCCCTTAAATATAAAAAAACTAACCTTTAGTGTCATGAATGAGAATCATTATAGCTACTGCTAAATTTAAAAAATTCCAAGAGCTGTTTGACGTTTTATCCCAAGATCTACACCCAAACTTTAGGGAAACAATCTTCCAAAAAGATCTGGAAAATTGCCTGCTCAGAGACAGAGTATCAGCGTTTGATACTGGTGGCAGGAGAATAGCCCACTTCCAAGTGTGAAGAACCAGTAACACAAATTACGAATGCACCCAAGATCCCCAAATAAATTAGTAAAAGTGCCATTATTTTAAGAATGATTAGACATATAATCAATGTATTTAAATACAAATTCAAATGTGTTAAGTCCAAAAGATACAGTAATTTTATTACATAAAATTCCTCCTGTGTGCTAAAAATGTTAACTTACAAGACATAATATTTGTATAAGTGTAGAGGAAGTTATGGTCAAATTGCTTAATCATTTTTCATTAATGAGAACAGAACAATAGGTAGTGGACATATATAGAAGCACTGAGTCCTCTAAAATTCAAGGTTATATTACTGCTCAAGCAAAGCATACTATTCTTTAATAATATAAATGCCTACTCAATTTATCTTTTAAAAATAAAGTCCATTTGTTCTCCATTAAAGCTTCTGCAAGACTGACAAAGGTACATTCTACCTATATAAAATAGGGGTACTCTTCATCTTTGGATAAGGTATCACCACTTAGGGAAATGTAGTCAATATACAGATTACTAAACTTTTATTTGAGGCAGCTGTTGGAGTCCATTAAGCACTTTTCGAACACTGTATCTTTAAAGTTTGTCTTTAATATTAATAGCTTTGGAAAACCAAAAATAGAGAAAAAAACATCTGTGACAAAGTACATTTCATTCAGATTTGATATCAGTAAGATACAAAAAAAATATTTAGTGCAGTGTCAATTTTATCTACGATAATCACTTGAGGATAGTTTTGTGTTATGTTTTATGATTGAATGTCAAAAAGATTTTTACTTGTTAAGTCTTTGTCTTAGTATTTAGTAAGGCAAAAATGAAATTAAGTACTGTAAAAAGTCTTTTAAAATGAAGCTACAAATTTGGTTCCTATTTACAATTTCATTAACAGATAAGTGTAGATACAACAGATCCAATACCCTTATAACCACAGTAAAAAAAATCTCTAATAGCATTTATAGGTTGTGAAATCCTTAGTAATACCAATATATATCCAAAACATGTTCATACAGAACCAATACCTCTCTGATTCCTTGTAAAAGAACACTTGTTAAAAATAATTAACAAAAATACCAAAACAACAATGAAAACTCATTTCATTTCGTCCAAAAGTTATGACACAAAATACTGGCTTAAAGAGGTAGATTAAAAAGAAAAAGAAAACCAGATTCACCATTCTTTGTCACTTTTATTCAGTAGTAGTTTTTTTTTCCCTTATTTTCAGTGCCAGACACGGCAAGGAGTGATTACAGCCAACTGTTAAAACATTTGTTCGCAATATATACCCCCCTTTACCACTGACCCCAAACTGACTCATTTTGTGTGCTTTCGTTCTTTCTTTTTTTAATATACCACCACCAAGACTGGGTGGAGGGGCAAGGGTAAGAGACATGAAGGGAAGAGTCCAGGAGGCCAGAAGAGGAGGAATGCTACAAGCCACAGTAAGAATGAGCTGTATTTAATTTAAAAAAGGGTGGCGGGGTGTACCCCACAAATGATACAGTAATGAGGATACACAATTAAATCCCATAAGCATGACTGAGGCTTTCACTGTGTTTGACATCATCACAATGGAAGGCATAAAAAGTGGAGTAAATCAATGTTGACACAGTCCAATCTAGTCCATTAGGCAAGATGGTGCAAGAAGTCATTTAAATTAAAAGTGCCCTATCCTTACCTAAATGGCTAGCAGACATGGAGAACACCATAGTGATGAATCCACAGAGCTTTCTCCATGTAGCTATAAAAAAGTGTTGTTGAATGGCACATTGTCAAACACTGGAAGGGGGCGCCACAATGGACCTCTCTCTTTTTTAGGTACAAATGCTAGATTCAACTATCTCAACTAAGCAGGAAGTGGGCTCTTCTGCTAGGAATGCCAACCCTAATTCACTTTGTCTTGAAATATATACAGATTGTTTGTAGTCGCTACAGCAATGATATTTTCCTTGGGGTGCCAGGCTGTGTGAAGTATTTTCTTGTTGAAGTCTAGACTGTCAACACTTATTTCATCCTTCTTTCTCTTGCCACTTGCACAGACTTTGCGTGGCTTCAGAACCGTGCGAGGTTTATTGTTTTCTCGTGATGCTTCGAGGGTTATGTCTCGCTTTGTGTTCCTGTCAAACATTCTGAAGAAATTATTGTAAGATCCAGTCATGACAACACTGTAAAAGTAGACAGAACATTCAGTCAAATAAGTGCCTACAGAGTTTGTTTTCAGTAAAATGACTCAGTGATGAAACCTAGCCTGGTGCTCTACCAGAAACAGCAGCTACTTTAAGCAGATTTTAATTTTAGGGTGAAGGCCGCTGACACCAACCCAGATATATAGTGCTAGTTAATTTTTTCTTTTAATTACTCCTTCTCATGAATACCAAAACTATCACCAAAGTTGAAAGCATCCTAAGCTTCTTAGTAGTATTATCTTTGTTGAGTATTTTTGCAACTATCAACTTATGTGATCAACCTGACCAGCCAACTTCTAGAAATACCAACTGGGGGACTCACAGGTTCTAAAACCAAAAAAGAAAAATGAATGGTATACAACTGTTCATTAGAAACCAATGCTTTCTTTATGATTTAAGTTGTAAACTATTTAATTTGTCCCCAAGACATTATCTAGTTTGGATAATCACATCTTATGATGCTTATAGAAAACCTGCTTCTGGGAATATTCAGAAAGTAGCATATACAATGTTTATTAACAGAAAAAAAAATTAACTTATAACACAATACATTTTAAGCAAATTTTTGGACAAATATTTTTAATATCAGTTTAAAGGGTGCCAAATTCTTACCCTGCCTAAGGCATGTTCTGTCAATCCTACTTGCCATCCATCACTGCTCCTCAACATTTACCAAGTATTCCAGTAAGCAAAACCTCACATGTTTAAAACCATTAATTTGCAAAGGGTCTAGTGCTATTATTAATACCACATCTTCCCATATAACTTAAATTATAATTGTAAATAAGATTATAGGATACCAAGAAACTGCTTAAAGTAATGCTTGGAAACAACTTTTATTACAAATAATAGAGGCCTGGTGCACGAAAATTCGTGCACTCGGGGTGGGGGTGGGGGGTCCCTCAGCCCGGCCTGCACCCTCTCGCAGTTCAGGACCCCACGGGGATGTCCACCTGCCTGCTTAGGCCCTCTCCCCCCCAGGGATCGTGCCTAAGCTGGCAGTCAGACATCCCTCTGGCAGTCTGGGAGCCCTCTGGGGATGTACACCTGCCAGATTAGGCCCGCTCCCTGGGGGAATCGGGCATAAGCCGTTAGCCGGACATTCTTAGCACTACCGCAGAGGCGGGACAGGCTCCTGCCACTGCCGCTGGCCAGCCATGAGCCAGCTTCTGGCTGAGCAGTGGCAGCCCTGCTGTGGAAGCGCACTGAACACCAGGGAGCAGCTCCTGCATTGAGCATCTGCCCCCTGGTGGTCAGTGCACGTCATAGCGACCGGTCATTCTGCTGTTAGGGTCAATTTGGATATTACCCATTTACTATATAGGATTATACACCAAACAGGTCATATATTGAATGCAAAAGACTGCCATCTACTTAGTAAAGTCAATCCCCCCCAAAGAACAACTGACAACATTTTAATCACACTCATGTTGGTGCATGTACCTAAAGGTAATAAAACGGTATTTCTTTCAAACGATGAATGTAATTAAACTGGCATCCCCATGTTATGTGAATCTAATCACGAGGAAACACTAGACAACACTCAAATTAAGAAGCTTTCTGGCTCTGGCTGGTTTGGCTCAGTGAATAGAGCATCAGCCTGCAGACTGAATGAAGAGTCCTGGGTTTGATTCTGGTCAAGGGCACATGCTGGGGTTGTGTGCTTAATCCCCAGTAAGGGGCATGAAGGAGGCAGCCAATCAATTATTTCCCTCATCACTGATGTTTCTATCTCTCTCTGAAATCAATCAATAATATAATTTTTTTAAAAGGAAACTTTCTGTAAAATAACTGGCCTGTGTTTTCAAAAATGCCAAGGTTATGAAAGATGAGAAAAGAATAAAGAACTAGTCCAGATTAAAGGAGACTAACGAGATAGGACAACCAAATGTCACATATGCTTTTGGATTTGATACTGAGCCCTCCGCACCCCCCCCCCTTTTTTTTTTTGCTAGAGAGGACATGATTGAGAACTAGAAAAATTTTAATGGAATCTGTGGATTAGATGAAAGTAGTGCATCAATGAGAATTTTTCTGTTGCCCTGTCATTATGAAGTAGAGTGCCTTTTATGAAATACTCAAAGTTAGGGGCAACGGGGCATCATGTTTGGAGTTTATGCACACGTACACACACACAAAATAAGTGTTTGTGTTTATGTATAAATATACATGAAGACTGACACAGCAAACAGCAACAGAGGGAACCTGAGTAGAGGCTAAATAAGAGTTGTGTTATTCTTATAAATTTTTTCTAAGTTTGAGATCCTCTCAAAATTTTTAAAAATATATATATTTTTATTGATTTCAGAGAGGAAGGGCAAGGGAGAGATGGAAACAACAATGACGAGAGAGAATCACTGATTAGCTGCCTCCTGCACGCCCTCTACTGGGGATCGAACCCACAACCCTGGCATGTGCCCTTTACTGGAATCAAACCCAGGATGCTTCAGTTCACAGGCTGATGCTCTATCCACTGAGCCAAACCAGGTAGGGCTCAAATTTTTTTTTTACATGTTAAGGGAAATAACTTTTGACAGTGAAACCTGTTTAACATGTGTAAACAATGTGAGGAAGTACTAGCTGTGGCAGTGAACCAATTCTTTATAGCAATATCTTCTCTTGAAATTTGCTAATTTCTTATCTTCTTCCCTTTCCTTTTTCTAATTTGATACTTTAGGTTTAATAGTGGCATTCCGTAAAGCTTGCTTATTCCTACTCTAGGTTTACGGTGGCCAGTCTAATTAGTGGGCCTCATGTTATAATCAGATAAAATAATTTCAAAAATCAGACAAAAGATAAATGATCCCAGTTCTATTCTCTTCTGTAACACATAACACCATGAAACCTGAATCATATCAAGCTTCTGTGATAAAACTATTGTTCAATAAAGAACTTCAAATTACCTTGAAGGCAAATTTAAATAATCTCAAAATGATATTTTCTGTTCTACTGGAACATAATAAATGGTAAACAAATATTGACAAATAAAATGGAAAGATTAAGACTTGTTTATCTTTGGAAATAATGGTACATTTTGACAACATAGTGAAAAGAAATACTATGGCAAATTTGTGGATTATAAAAAGCCTAATTACTCATGGTAATATGGTTAAAATAATATGTATCAATTATCACTTCTATGAGATATTAATGTATTATCTGGAGACACTGGTGTGTAACATTCCACATGAAATATCTACTGTCTAAATATTTCTAGTGACTTTTTTTAAGAGAGCAAGAGGAAGGGGGAGGATGGAGAGAGGGAGGGAAAGAGAGAAAAAAACAGATTTGTCATTCCACTTGTTTATACATTCATTGGTTGATTTTTTTTTTCACAGATTTTTAAAATTTTTTTTTCCCTTTTTTAAATAAGATATTACAAATGTGTCCTTATCCCAATGAGTTGATTCTTGTATATGCCTTGACTAGGATCAAACCTGCAACCTTGGTGTATTGGGACAATGCTCTAACCAACTGAGCTACCTGGCCAAGGCCCTAAGTATTTCTAAAAAGTTTAATATAGTAACAAACCAAACTGAAATGTCAACATTTCAACTGCTGGCATGTCAAACTTATGATTGATCTGGCTCATAAAAGGGAACATTTTTAAGATTACTAGGAGGAGTGATGAAATAGCACATTTCTTTCCTCTAATACAGCAATTTTCAACCTATGTGCCACAAGAATTTTTAAAATATGCAGTACCTGACTATTTAGTCAGGGTCACTGACCTCCTTTCCCTTAGACCAGTGGTCGGCAAACTGAGGCTCGGCAAACCGCGGCTCGTGAGCCACACGCAGCTCTTTGGCCCCTTGAGCGTGGCTCTTCCACAAAATACCAACTTCTGCACATGGTCCACGAAGTTTCAATCGCACTGTACGTGCGCGCCTGCACGTGCTATTTTGTGGAAGAGCCACACTCAAGGGGCCAAAGAGCCGCATGTGGCTCTCGAGCTGCCGTTTACCGACCACGGCCTTAGACTATCAAATAAAAAAAACAACAGCAGCCAACACAACAACAGCCAGCTGGTGTGAATGAATAAGTATTTTTTTTTATCAGATTGGCAAAAAAAATATTTTTTGGTGTGCCATAGAATTCTGGTAATTAGTTTATGTGTGCCAGGAGATGAAAAAGGCTGAAAACTGCTGCTCTTATAAAATTACATTTGGTCCAGCTGGCATGACTCAGTGGTTGAGTGTCAACCTATGAACTAGAAGGTCATGGTTTGACTCCCGGTCAGGGCACATGCCAGGGTTGTCGGCTCAATCCCCAGTGGGGGGCATGCAGGAGGCAGCCGATTAATGATTCTCATCATTGATGTTTCTCTCTCTCTCTCTCTCTCTCTGAAATCAATAAAAATATATATTAAAAAAAGAAAAGGCATTTGGAACATTTCCCAAAGTATTTAAAAAAATAGTTAAACAAAACTTTCACGCAAATAGCCAAAAGTTGAAAATGACCCAAATGTCCTTCAACTGATGAATGAATAAACAAAACTATATTCATACAGTGGATTATTTTAAATGATAAAATAACATTTGAATAAATTCAAATTAAAATCAATTACCTATCAGAACCATTCCAACAACATTCAAATTTATCAAATATGCAGTCATTTTCATACAGAGAACAAAGTTTACTTCTGAGGTATTCATGCACCTGGGGAAAAACATAAATATATATATTCTTAGTTTACACCTCAAGATTTACTGATTAAATTTAGAAAACTGATTTAGTAAGTCAGTATTATTTTTTTTAAAAAAAGGCATATGTAGACACATACATATATCTGTCAATCTTATTAAAATTTGATCCCCTTAGTAACAATAAAAGCGTTTATTTAATCCATTTACAAACATATGAGTCCCCTTCAATGAACACACATTTTCTTTTGAACAATAGATTAACTACCCTCTGGGCATGGCACATGTACTCTATAAGCTCAACGAAAATATTTAGACCAGAAAACATTTGAAAATGACACCGATAAGAGACTAAAGACTATTATAGCAATATTTGAATATGCTAACACTTGTCTTTCAGTCTATTAATTGCTGATTTAAAAACACTCAATACTGTGCTTTACTTCCTTTTAAAATATAATTTTCTGGGCATAAATAACTAAAGCCTACATTATAATTGTGTATGTTATGCACAGCATGATCATCCCTCAGTTTGGTGATAAATTATATGGTTACTGTATGTATGCATGGTTCTACTTGACATTACTTATATAATATCAAGAGCTAATGAAAATATACCTTTTTAAAAAAATATAATTCTAAATAAATGAATCTAGTATTTAAAATGTATCCTGATAAATGATACATTTAATTAACATTGTTAAATTACAAAGGAAATTTTCAAATCTTGCGATCAGAAGGAAAAAAAGAACCTTAAGCACTAGTGATGACAGAAAGGAGTAGGTACTTTCTAAATGTTAGAATTCTCTATTATTTATGAAATAACATAAAGTCATCTTAACTTTAAGTACAGTGAAATGATTCAGGCCACATGTATGTGACATTAAGTAAAAATTTGTTAACCTGGAGGAATTGCAATTCATGTAGGGTCAGGATTAAAAGTGAAAAATGAATAAAATCACAATTACCCTTCAATAACACACAGCTTAGCAAGATGCCAAATTTACCACCCACCAACAGCTCGATCTGCATATGCTACGTTTGAGTATGATGTGACACGATTCTCAATCACTAATCTAACTCAGCATAGGAAGGAAAACTGACATTCAGGTAAAATTAGGTAAATCATAACAATTCAGCAAAGTTTTAGAATGCCCATACAGGGTTTCTCAAAAACAATTTATGAGTATGAAGTTAAGGTTCAAATCAATTATTCTCAAAGGGAATGGGGTAGTAATGGTGAGGATCACTAGGAGACCAATCAGAATCTTGGCAGTTATACAGATGTAATTTGAAACCGTGGCAATATTGTATCCTTTACTTTTGCTTCAATGTAACATGTATTTGGAAATTTCAAATACCACGAAGGAGACTATTTAGTGGTTTAGGTTTGTCAAACAGGATTAAAAAGTTTGAGAAATACCATTCTAATTTTACTGATAATATACAACATAAGGAAAATTTATCAAGTCTGTATTCCTAAAGCAGTGTTAAGTGTTTTCTATACTCTAGCGACCTAGGACCTAACATAGGTATCTGATGCCCTCCCTGTTCCTGGCTCAACACATCTTCACTCTCTTTTCTAGAAGAGCAGCAGGCTACGGATCAATGGTAGTGGCTGGCTGACAAGAAGTGAATCCAGAACTAACATCCCACAAGAGACAGACAACTGCTAAAGCTGTCTGCTGGGCTTTCAAGGCCTTTTCCTTTAGTCTAAAGACAAAGGTAGAATGTCAGTCCCTTTTACCTGGCATGCCAAAGCTAAGCTCTCTAGTTCAGCTACTACTGCACATACTTCAACGGGGACAACTCTACTAAGACTGACCACTCTTCCCAATCCTCCCTCCCACCCCCGAGACCTTAAAAGAGTGCTCTTTCCTCCTCACTTTAAGTATAGACAGAAGCAGGGAAAACCATTATCAATAATGAACCAAACCAGTAACATAATCACACTTTAACTGCAAAACTACTATAACGCCTATAAAAAAATATATAAATTTAACATAAGGAAAAGCATAATACTCATGGATCAAAAGCCTCACTGTGAACACGAACTGTGTTAGGATTAACACAAAATACAAAATCCTTCTCTATAAAAACTTCAAAGTAAATAGGGTGTATGATCATTGAAAGAAAAAACTGCAAATACCTGATATGTTTCCACAGGCCTGTTTTCCATATTTAAGTCCCAAATTTTGACTGACAAGTAGTCTCTAGTCATCATATATTGACCACTATGGCTGAATTTTACATCAGAAATAGAGGAGATGATTTCAGAAAAGAAAGACCTATTACTGGGATCTTCAGGTTCTTCAAACACTAAAAACAAGCAAAAAAAAAAAAAAGAAAAAAAGGAAAAAAAAGTGCAATTTGTATAATCTTCTGGCTTGCACAAAGCATTTGTTGAAACAATTCACAAATTTCCTAAGAGGCAGCTAAAAATGGCAGCCTAATAAAAACTGACAACTCTCTGGCTATAAGATAATCCCCCTAGAAGTTTCTTATGAGATAAATACTACAACTAAAGATGTGAGAGATTTATACTTCCAGAGCCCACAGCTAATTTGGCAGAACCAGACTTACCCAGGGCTTCTGACTTCAATGCCCCAGGTTTATAGGTTCTGCATATACCTCACTGACTTTGCCTGTGTTGTCAGCACAAAAAAATACCCTCTCACCATTCAAATTCGTACCAGCATTTTATTTTTTACTGGCCAGGTAAAATTACTGCAACCTGTTATTTAAAACCCAGTGCTTTTTAAACTTCTTAAAGCAAAGAAAACCACTTCTTAGAAGAAATAGGAAGCTCGAAATAGGAAAGAAGGAATTGCTCTACCTGAATATAGGGTTGGAGAACATCACCCCAAGTTCTCAAACAGTAACAGTCCATTAAAAATATATCCACTGGGCCCTGACTGGTTTGGCTCAGTGAATAGAGGGTTGGCTGGTGGACTACAGGGTCCTGGGTTCGATCCCCAGTGGGGGGCATGCAGGAGGCAGCTGTTGAATGATTCTTTCTCATCAATGATATTTCTCTTTCTCTCTCCTCTGAAATCAATTTTAAAAATGAATAAATATATATACACATTAGAGCAGCGGTTCTCAACCTGTGGGTCGCGACCCCTTTGGGGGTTGAACGACCCTTTCACAGGAGTCGCCTAAGACCATCGGAAAACATATAATTACATATTGTTTTTGTGATTAATCACTATGCTTTAATTATGTTCAATTTGTAACAATGAAAATACGTCCTGCATTCATAACAGGAGCAAAATTACAGTTATGAAGTAGCAACGAAAACAATTTTATGGTTGGGGGTCACCACAACATTAAAGGGTCTCGGCATTAGGAAGGTTGAGAACCACTGCATTAGAGGCTCAGTGCACGAATTTGTGCACCAGTGGGGTCCCTCGGCCTGGCCAGCCGGCAGTGGGGAAGGACTGTAGGAGGTTGGCTGGCTGGTGAGGGGGAATGGGGGGCAGCTGGGGGCCACGGGAGGTTGGCTGTGGGATTGCACTGACCACCAGGGGGCAGCTGCTGAGTTGAGCGTCTGCCCCCTGTTGATCAGTGCACGTCATAGTGACTGGTCCACCGGTCGTTGGGTCCTAACAGTCGCTTAGGCATATATCTCCACTAGGATATCAACAGACATGCCCTGATAAAGCCTTCCATGTTTTTCTAGTAGAATAACCTACGATGCCTCATGCAGAGTCAGCTTTCCAAAGGGTACAGGTAGCCCTGGGCATATAGGTTTAACTAAGACTTGTAAACCTATGTACATGTGATTACCACGTCTGAGGCTAAAGATTTTAGACAAACAGAAAAAGTTAACTTTTTTTTTTTAAAAAAAAGATGAAAATAACTTACGTTTAGAATGCCTATCACAGAGGGCAGATGCCCTCATGTCACATAACCGAATAGTGCCTTTACTGCTGCTGTATACAAACGTGTTACAGCTATTTGGATGGAACTCTGCTGCTGTAATCACCTCTGTTAGCTCTTCCATGTTGGCAGGCTTGATATCCACAATATCTGGATAGCATTTTATTAAGGAATTTCCATTTAGAAAAAAGGGCAAATATAATTTTACATTTTTCAAAGCACAAATATTCTGAATTGCATTATAGACCTTATTTGATCCATTTAATGCCTACAAAAAAAATTCTTAGAAGAAAACATGGGCAAATTTTAAATCATTTTAGAATGCAGAGGTCTGTTTTTCTGACCATGATACAAATCCCAGAAGCCATAAAGAATAGGACTGACATAAGTTTATCTTCCTAAATATTAAGAAATTTAGTGTACATTCCAAACACAAGATAACAGAACAAAACTCTTCAAGGGGAGCAAAAAAGAGAAAACTATTTGCACCACAAAGGATGAAGCTGATTTACTTAACATAAAAAAGTGCTTTAAAAACAACCCAGAGATGGTTCAGTGACCTATGAACCAGGAGGTCGAGGTTCAATTCCTGGTTTTGGGCTCGATCCGTGTGGGGTGTGCAGGAGGCAGCTGATCAATGATTCTCTCTCATCATTGATGTTTCTAGCTCTCTTTCCCTCTCCTTTCCTCTCTGAAATAAATAAAAATATATTAAAAATAAAACAAAACAAAGAAAAACAACAAAACATGCAAATCTAATGAAAAAAATTAGAAAAGAATAAATATACAAATATGAAAAAAATGTTCATTTACTCATGATGAAAGAAATGCTAATCAAAACAACAAAAGAGGATTTTTACTAGCTAGACCGGTAAAGGTATAGGAAAACTGGCTCTTTTATACTCTATTAACAGATTATGAATTATAGTAAAGTGTTAATTTTTTCAAATGATATGTACTTAGAAATATATAAATAGTAGTAAAAGCTGCTAACATTTTACCTTAAAAAAAAAACAAACGAAACAGCTTTACGGAAATGTAATTCACATACATACAATTCACCCATTTCAAATGTGGAATTCCATATAGCTAACATTTTATTTTTAAAACATACTTAAAAACGAGTATATTTGTATACATCTCTTTCTCTCACTCTCTCTCTATATATACAGTATATATGAGTGCCAGGTATATATGTTTATATATCACATACTTGTTTGTACACAGAATTTTCAGAATATAAACAATGAAAGTAGGATTTGGAGAAACATTTATATTGACTTTATACCACCCCCCGCCAAAAAAACAAGAGAGAAACCAAATGGATACTAAAACTCCTATCTGTAATTTCCAGATGCCAAAGATTAATCCTCAAATCATCTGCAGATAAATATGTTTCATAATCACTATTAATGGAAATTGAGTTGATGTGATATGTATGAGCATTGGCAAATATTCTTCGTGGACTGGCCTCAACCATTAAATCCATGGGCCTAAAGACTGGCACCTGTCAATGAGACACATGAAAAAGTCATTACAAAATGTTCATTGTTTACAATAGCACCTAAGATTCAGAACACTTCATTTCTACAGTTTTTGAGGAACTATAAAACAGTACATTACACAAATTTAGTTTAAAAAGTAACTGATATTGATCTTCTGAAGTACTGAAACGAGTAAAATGAACAATCTAATTTATCTTCTTTTACAGGTAGCAATACTACTAGAATTTGCCATTCTTCCTAGTTCCAATCTTTTGCTTAAAAGACTTGCAGCCCTAGCTGGTTTGGCTCAGTGGATAGAGCGTCAGCCTGCAGACCAAAGGGTCCCGGGTTCTATTCCAGTCAAGGGCACATACCTTGGTTGCAGGCTCCCTGGCCCAGGCCCTGGCTGGGGCTTGTGCAGGAGGCAACCAATCGATGTGTGCTTCTCTCACATCGATGTTTCTCTCTGTCTTTCCCTCTCTCTTCTATTCTCCCTAAAAAATCAATGGAAAAATATCCTCATGTGAGGATTAACAAAGACTTGCAAACCTAATAAATGTTTATGATTTAAATTAAAGTGGTTAAAAAGGAAATTAGCCCAGTGTGTCTAATTCTTGGTTTTGTTTTTTTTAGCTGCAACAAGATTTGGTCCATTTCTACTTTTTCATCTCCAAAGAAAATTAATCTTGAAACTTAAGTTTGTAATAGTTGATATTCAAACTACAAGAGTGGTAGAGAACGTGGCACAGAACATAACAGTCTTGTGTAGAATCCTGGTTCTGCCCATGGCAACAGTGTGACTCTATGTAGGTCAGGGTCTGTTTGAAATGAGAGTTTTAAGTGTCTTATCTAGTTACAGAATTGTTGGGACAGGGCAAATTGTAATTATTCCTATTTAAGTTCTGCTCAGGATCTAGAATATGTAATATGAATACAAAATGCCGGTTTGGTTCAGTTGGTTGGGTGTTGTCTCGTGCACCTAAAGGGCACATGCCTGGGTTGCAGGCTTGATCCCCTTGATCAATGGTCCCCTCTCACTTTGATGTTTCTCTTCCTCTCTACCCCTCTCTCTGTAAAAATCAATAAAAATATTTTAAACCCACACATACATACAAAAGCACTATTAATCAGAATTAGAATAATTTTTTCTTATGTACTTACTCGTAGTGTAGTGACTGTAGTAGGATCTCTATACCTTCCATCTTCCTCTTTCAAGTTATACCCTTCTGGTCTTTTGTCCCTTTCACTGATTTTCCATAATTTTATAGTTTTATCTGGGGAGACAATGAATAAAGTCCTCAAAAAAGGAGTAATACATATAGGAGAAAAACACTTTTAAGGTATATGTAAACATGCCATTTCATATTTGATCTAAAAAGATACCAAGAATGCCCTGGCCAGGTGGCTCAGCTGGTTGGAGCATCACCCTGTACACCAAAAGGCTGTGGGTTCAATCCCCAGTTGGCACACACAGGAGGCAACCAATCAATATCTGTCTCTGTCTCTCTCTCCCTTCCTTTCTATCTAAAATCCATAAAGCATAACCTCAGGTAAGGATTAAAAAAAAGGAACAAAAAGATCCCAAGAATAAAATCTCTTATCTGACACAACAAAAAAAACAAAAAACAAATTTATTACCTGGGAAAAACAGTATAGATATTGCACTTTTATGTTAATCAAATTCATAAAATTCCATTTGCTATTACAATCAAGTCATAGCCAGGTCCTTACTGTTTAAAACCAAATAAAGCCAGAGGGGAAAAGGTTATATGGGTATATAAATACATATATGTCTATACACACATAAAAACATATATCTATATATGCTCAATACTTAATTTTCAAAAGAGAACCAACAAAAATGGTTAAGATAGCCTAACTACTACTAGCAGATCCCACAAATTCCTTTACAGGCCTGGCCACCTGTTTAAATCTGTATTTCCCCAATGTATTAGCAATTCATAAGTAGGCAAATTTGACTGATTCAAGTCCTTCAAGACAAAATTCTTATGTATCAAAAATCTATAATATTTTAAAATAAAATTTTATTTTGGAATTAAGTTGATTTCCAGAGAAGTTACAAAGACAGCACATGTTTCCATACACCATTCACCCAGTTTCTTCTCATGTCAACATCTTAAACAACCTGGTACATTTGTTAAAACTAAGAAATTAACGTTGTACTGGTACATTCCTACTAACCAAACTCCAGACTTCACTCAGATTCCACCAGGTTTTCTACTAACTTCCCTTTTCTGTTTCAGGACCCCAACCAGGATCCAAACAACACTTCAGTTATCAAGTCTTAGTCTCTCCAACTTTAACAATTCCTCAGACTTTATTTTTCATACAGTGCTGAGCAGTAGTGAGATATTTTGTAGGATGTCCCTCAAAACGATAGGTTGGCTGTTTTCTTATAATCAGAATGGAATCATGGGTTTTTAGGAGGAGCACCAGAGTAAAGTGAAGGCATACATAGTGTCAACAGGACTTTTCTGCTTTAATCACTTGGTTAAGGCAGTATGTACCAAGTTTCTCCACTGCAGTTACTATTTTTCCCCTTCCCATACTCTATTCTTTGGAAGTGAGTCACTAAGTCCAGTCTACACTTAAAAGGAGAATTAAGTTACACTTCTTGTAGGAAGAAGTATCCATTCACATACTATTTGTAATCCTATCCTATATAATAAAAGGGTAATATGCAAATTGACCCTAACAGTGGAACGATCAGAACCTGGAACAACCAGAATGACCGCTCAACCAGTCACTATGAGGCACACTGACCACCTGTGGTCCCTTTCCCTGGTAGGCAGGCTCCGATTGCCTGATGGTGAATGGGGAACAAGGGGTGGCTGGTGGCGGGGGGTGGGGCTGGCTGCAGGCAGCCAGGGAAGATGGCCCTGATTGCAGGCCAAGCCTAGGGACCATACCTATGCACAAATTTCGTGTGCCAGACCTCTAGTTCTCCTATAAAAAGCGTCCCTTCTCTCCCACTTATTTGTTCAAATTTCTTTATATCACTATGGATGCATGCATATTTGTTTAATACTTTGTTATTCTAAAATTGCATTCATATAAGACTATCACATTCTTAATGGTCTTTCATAAGCAAATGAGCATAATATAATTTTAAAAATAGTGTATAAAGACACTTTATAAAACTCAGTCATGCAGGGACTCTAGCCTGGCCACCTCTCTCTGTCTGGTGGAGAAAAGCATGCCAGCTGCTCCTGTGGATGCCCTCTGCAAAGATGAAGTCTAAACAGGAAAAAAAAACAAAAACAAAAAAACCCCAGCTAACTCTACTAATGTTTCATCTAAACCCTATGTAATCATGTTTCTATTTATTTGCAATTCAGTTATGTGTGTTTTCTATGTGCTATTTAATTTACATAATTTAGATACATCATTATATACTTTAGAATACTTCATTTCCAAATATGTAATATAAATGAGTCAAGCCTAAATTCTATATTTTGGGAGAAATTATCAGATGATGAGGATGGCCCAACTGGCATGGCTCAGTGGTTGAGCATCGACCTCTGAACCAGGAGGTCATGGTTCAATTCCTGGTCAAGACATATGCCTGGGTTGTGGGCTCAATCCCCAGTGTGAGGCATGCTGGAGGCAGCCAATCAATGATTCTCTCTCATCATTAATGTTTCTATCTCTACCCCTCTTCTTCATCTCTGAAATCAAAAATATATTAAAAATAAATTTTAAAAAAGATGAGGATGCCCACCATGACTGCCTTATGGCCTGTTCAAATTCATCTACCTTAGAGATCCAGATTAAAAAATTACAATATACTTATCAAACTTTCAAATGAGATGAAATTAGTTTGTGGTTCTCAATAGTGCTATCAGAAGAAAATACTAAAAGTTATGAAAAATCAGGTAAATATCTTTTGAAAAACAAATTAAACTTCAAAAATTTTAAAGTGATAAAATTTGTGACATAAGAGGGTAAAACATTTTTTCAAATAGCATAAACACAGGACAGGATACAGAAGTACTACACAATTTCAGTGCAGTGCTTGGGGATAAGGCAGGCTGGATATAAAATAATGTTTTCACAAGTATAATTTAAAATTAAAAATATTTTTTCATTTATATGTTCTTTGGAAGTGACTTTTTAATCTGGAGGTCTTGGCCTATAGATGGAGATACTGATCAATTCCATAAAAGTGCATGCAAGATTATGTGCTTTTATACACAACTTTTCTGTGAAGGGATTGTAAGATTCTCAAAGATATGTTACTTCCAAAAATTTAAGAGCTATTGCTCTATGGTGATTCCCTAAACTGTCAAACCTAAGAAAAGAAGTATTCAAGAAGTCCAAAGGTCCATGTGTATCTCTGGCCATAAGCAGAGGGTTAGGACAGGTAAAACCAGGCTACCAAGCTTCCTCTTGTGGGAATGCAGCTTTAAACAAGATAAAAAATCTTATTAACAAGCTGTTAAAAAGCAACTTATTTATGAGTGAACTATAATTCTTATATTCAAGACCCATCCATCCATAGTCAACAGATTACAGTTAGACCTTTTTGTAATGTGAAGGAATCGAGGAGAATTCCAAGGAAGGGGAAAGAAGGTAAAAGAAAGAGACACATCAAGTGAATTAAAGTTATAAGAGATGACTATAAACTTAAGTAAAAATGATCTGGGGAAAACCAGTTTATGATGATCATGGAAAGTCAATGCAAGAATGAAAGTAAGATTAATTGTGGTGAATCAAAGTGGAAATGTTGGGTCATATTTTCTATCATTCTCCCACAGGAATTTCTAATCTATAATAATAAAGTATAATATGCTAATTAGACCGGGCATCCTTCCTGACAACCTTCCAGATGAAGCTGGGGCTGCGAGGGAAGCCCAGGTCCCGGCAGCCAGGGGAAGGAAGGCCTACTCTTGCATAAATTTCGTGCATTAGGCCTCTAGTCTATAATAATAAAAGTGTAATATACTAAGTAGACCAGACGTCCTTTCAGACGAAGCCGGGGCTGCGAGGAAAGCCCAGGTACCGGGTGCCAGAAGGGAAGCCGGTGCCGGCAGCCCGGGGAAGGAAGGCCTACTCTTGCATGAATTTCATGCATCAGGCCTCTAGTCTTTTTATGAGTATCAAGACCCTTTTATTACACATTTTGTGGAAGGAGGTATTATTTTTATTTCACTGAGAAAACTAAACAAAATATTGTAAAGGTATTACTCAGATTTAATAGATATTGACATTCCCCTTAATTGCTTTCTCTTTTTAAAGAATAACACTTTCCAGATATAGCTCAAATCCTATTCCTCCCATCCTTATTTTTACCCCACCATTCTCAGCAGTTTGTAAAATTCCCATTCTTGTTCTATCCTTCCACATGGGACTCTACTTTTATAGCATACAAAAATAAAAAATAAAGGCAGCCCTAAAATACCTGTATTTTATTTAGTATTCATTAACACCACCATCAACAACAAATAGACAAAAACCTATGATTCACTTGCGTAGTGCCCTTTAACTTTGCTAGGTGTACCGATTAATAATAGCGAATTTTGTAATCAAAGAAAACATAATAATGTCAAGAGAAACATCAAAAGTGCTTTATTCAAAGTAATGTCCATCGCTAGCTACACATTTCCTCATCTTTCAGGTAATTTGTGGATAAAAGTCCCAATAGAACTTTTGTTTTGAGGCAAACCATTCAGAGACCCAATTTTCCACTTCTTTGTATGTTTTGTAATGCTGTTCAGAAAGTGCATGTGTCATTGATGGGAACAAATGGTAATCTCAAGGAGCAAGGTCTAGTGAATACAGCGGGTGGGTTAATACTTCCCAGGCAAGATCTTTTAACATGTCTTTAACTGGTTTTGAAATGTGGGATGGTGCATCATCATGAAGCAAAATTACTTTGCCGTGTTTTCTGGAACATTCTGGTTGTTTCACGATCAAAGCGTGATTCAAATTGATTATTTGTCGGTAGCGATCAGTATTAGCGGCTTCACCTGGTTTTAGAAGCTCATAATACACCACACCTTCCTGATCCCAACAAACATTGACCATTGTCTTCTTTCCTGAAGCGATTTGGCCTTGCAGTCAATGTTGATGGTTGACCTGGATCAACTCATGATTTTGTGCATTTGGGATTCTCAAAATAAATCCACTTTTGATCGCCAGTCACAATTCAATGCAAAAAAGACTTTCTTTCATGCCATTGAAGCAACATTTTACTGATGACTTTTCAGTTTTCCACTGTCTTTCGTTCAGTTGATGTGGAACCCATTTTCCTTCCTTTAAAATCTTTCCCATTGCTTGTAAATGATCGGAAATTGCTGAGCATCGTTTAATCTTTCTGCAAGTTGTTTTTGAGTTTGACACACATCTTCAACCAATAATGCTTGTAATTGTTGGCCTTCAAACTTATTCAGTTGACCTGGATGTTCTTTGTCTTTGACATTTGTATGGGCAGACAAATCATCAGGCAGAGACAAATCATTACTTTAAAGCGTTTAAACAACCAGCGTTCACAACTATCTTGAGATGGAGCATGTTCACCATAAGCTTCCCCAAGTATTCAGCAACACTTTTCTTCAAAATAATGAATTATAATTTCCCGCAACTGCTCTTTTTTGGCATAAAATTTGACATTTTTAAGCATAAAAATATCTATGATGTTAATACCTTCAGCAAATTTGACATATGAAGTTTTGAAGCTTGTTGTCAAAATAGCATACATATCAAATCACATACATATCAACATATGTGTAATTCCATCTATTGAAAAAAATCTGCATTATTAATTGGTACACCTAGTATTAATCAATGACTTTTCAAATTTACATAGTAAACCTATTTGGGAGACACTTTGATTTGTCTACAGAAAAGTACTACATAGATTCACATACCCCGACCTAACCACTGGAATTCCCAGTGTTTCTCCTTGTATTGAGCCTTTGTAGAGTTTAGTAACTAGAAAGGCTCATTTGGTTATACACTGCCTTGTTATTTCAAGCCATAGGAGTACAAGAAAGACTGCAAGGAAGACACATGAACATAAGCTGGGAATTGAAAACTATTTAAGATTTAATCCATAATTAAATCAAAATGGAATTTGCTTTCAAATAATACTGAGAGGGAAAGAAAGATCTGAGAAACAGAATTAGCTATGAACTAAGAATTATTGAAGCTGGGTGGAGGGTATGTAAGTCTTCATTACACTATTCTATCTCAGCCTATATGTTAAAAATTCTCCTTTATTAAAAAAAAACAAACAAAAAAAACCCCCCAAAAAACACGATATCGCCACTAAGAAGTGAACTGGCAAATTATTACGAATAAATATTCTAGCCCAGTCAGTGTTGTTCACTGCTGACCATCGACCTCTCTCTCCCTCTCTCTTCTTCTCTGAAATCAATAAAAATATACTTAAAAACAAAACATCTCTCTCTCTCTCTCTCTCTCCTCTCTCTCTCTCTCTCTCTCTCTCTCTCTCTCTCTCTCTCTCTTCAGTACATGAAATACATAACAATACACTTCCCTGGAACATTTATTTCCAAAAGTAGAAACTATATAATGGTAAAATTATGCATTATTTGATGTCAAAGAAAAAAGCAGTATCTGAAATGCTATTTGAAATAATTTAGTTTACCACATAAATTAAAACTGAACCAAATTAGAAACCAATATATGACATGAGTATACACCGTACCTCAATCTATGACGCTATAAGTTATGAGCTTTAAATCATTATTTCTATTTATTTTTCTTTTAATAATCAGAGAGAGGAATGCAGTTTGTGTAAAAAGAGAGGGGTAGAGGTTACAAGTGTTAAGGGCTGCTTAGGGAACACCTTGATGATTAAAAAAAAAATTGGGTTACAGGAAGCACAAATCTATAGTGTCAGAGAGTGGCAAATGCATTTCAAAGAACTAGATACAGAGGGTGATGAGACCTAAACTGGATGAAGGGAGAATTCAGTATTTTCCACTGTGTTACCCCAGAAATCACCTGAGTATACATTCTGTGAATGGCAAAGAATGATAAGGTCTAGGTGATAAAAATCTGCTTTTATTCAACAGTGAAGATCTGAGAAAATATGAGGTTTTCCCAACCCTCGTGCCAGCCTCAAGAAAGTTTTAATCTAACTTTTTACAGACTATGGCTACCCAGAATCTGGAAGTATCTCTCAGTTACTTTAATGTCTCTTCAAACCCCTGATTCCAAAAGCTAAACCAAGTCGCAACAACTTATATGAAAAAAAAAAATTTAGAACAACAAAAAAAGACCCAATTCTTAACTTGTCATAAAGGAATTTAAATTCTGGTAGAGTCACCACACAATTCTAATCCTCACTTAAAAACTTTTCCTGCGAGTAAGAAAGCAACTTCTTCTAGCAATGAGGATGGTGGGGAAGAAGGCAGTGTGTCAATTCCAGTTTGTGTCCTTGCTGGACTAGATCGAGTACGAAGAGTGTCCTCCTAGAGAGTATCCTTGAATGGAGACCAACTTTTGACAGAGCATTTTGAATTTACAGTTTGAAATAATCTTTGGAGAGTTTGGGCACACTTAAAAAGAAGGAAGGGAAGAAAGGAAATTAACATTTACTGAGCATGTATTATGTACATTAGGAGTTATCACACTTACTACTCATAACAATACGATAATACAGATATTACTATCTCCACTTTGCAGGTGAGAAAAATTTGACTCAGCATTAGTAACCTGCCCAAGACTAAGCCATGAAATGGCATAAAGAGAATCAGTCCATTCTTTTCACTACAAAATGCATGTGCACGCAAAAAAAAACTTGACACCTGAAAATCTCTTTCATAGAATTTAAAAACTAAATGCAAATAAAAAAGGGAAGACATAAAAGAAGAGTTTATATTCTATGTGGGGAAGAAATATTTCCAAATGTCTATTTGTAAATATCTCTTAACAACTACTCCTCTTTGAAATGGGAAACGTATCCTACAGAGTATGTGTACATACAAAGCACATGAAACAAAATTTACACTTACCATTGGTAGACAACAAAAACTGAGCAGCATTTTTCTGGGGTAACCACCTAATTTTGTTGATCTTTTCTTCTATTTCTAAACTTTTCAAGTAGTCAAACTCTGGTTCATGGCTCTGAAAGGTGCTGTAAACATTATATTCTCCTCTGCTATGAGACTGGATTTTGTTCTAAAATGGAAACAAAAATATTCGGACCACTGTTGAGAAAGATTTCAAAATAGTAAACTGTTATCAGTTCCAATAGATCTTGCAGGTTCTGGTTAATTCATTACCTGTATCTCATATACAATTATATTCTGTTTTAAAAAAATATTTAAAGGCTTTCAAGGAAAAGAAAAAAAAGGAAAAGCTAAATAAAGTATAATGATTAAGCCCAATTTATAAGGAAAAGTGACTCTGAATTATGGATCAATTTGATTATTAATTTACTATTATATTTTAAATAGCATTGACTTAAACTGATAAAAACATTTGAGCATCCTTAATAAGGGTGCTCATCTAAAAAATAAAGATTAAATGAGAAAAGCTTGCCAGAAACAGCTGGCTGATAGCTCCTATCCTAAACAAAGATAGTCTAATCACTTCAAGAAGGTGAAGGCAAAAACAATTACTGTCTTTGGGCAAGGCCAAGTTCTTTACCATACCAGATCCTGCACCCAAATTCTGTAAACATTTACTGCATTAATATTTTACTGCACTTTCTCTACACATGGCTTTCATCTTTCTCCTCCCTTCCTCCTTTTCCACTTTCTCTCCCTAATTATGCCCCCTCTCTCTTTCTGCCTTTCTCCCTTTACATCTGCTTTCTTGTTCTCACCCATTTCTCTTCCCATTTCATTTTCATGTTTCCTTCTCTCCCTCCGCCCTTTATATCCTCTCCTTAAAAACAAAGTCATTCTCTAGTCTTTTGTAGTACCACAATCTAGTTATCAAATATTCAGGTTTTTCCAATAGTCCCCATGTCTTTTTACAACAGAAAAGCCAGCATCATACCTTACATTCAGTTGCCATATCTCTTTAGTTGGTAATAGTTTCTGGGTCTGTCTTAGTATTTTATGACACTGACATTTTTCAGAAGCACTGAGCAGTTTATTTTGCATAGTTCCTTTATTTGGATATGTCTGATGTCCCGATTATTAAATACAAGTTAGGCACTTTGGGCAGGAATATCACAAAAGGGATGTTGTATTTATCCCAGTGCATATAAGGAGGCAGGTGATGATGCTGATGTGACCTAGCACTGGTGATGTTAACTTTTCTTGTTTCAGGTAGTGTCTATGAGGTGTGTCCACTGGAAAGTTAGTATATTTTCTCTTTGTAATGAGTAATTATCTTGAGGGAGATACTTTGACACTATAGACTACTCTAAAACTTTCACTGACTAGTTCTACCATTCATCCATAATTCTTACTGAAACAATTATTGCTAGAGTAATTGTAAATGGTAATTTTAAAAAATGTTTCTTGTTTCTACAATTATTAGCTGGCTTTTTATATTAAGGAAGAACTCCTTTCTCTCCCATTCAGTTTTAGTTTTATTGTGATCTCATGGATACCTCTTCTTTCTATTTTGTCTTTTTATTTGGTATTTTTTATTATTTTGTTGTGTCTAATATTGGCTTATAAGGTTTACCATCTACATCTTTATCACAGCCTGACTAACCTACAGTACACTTTATTTATTTTAAGTGATTTCGGAGAGAGGAAGGGAAAGGGAGCTAGAAACATCAATGATGATGCCCTAGTTGGTTTGGCTCAGTGGATAGAGAGTGTTGGCCTGCAGACTGAAGGGCCCCAAGTTCCATTCCGGTCAAGGGCACATTCCAGGGTTGTGGGCTCAGTCCCCAGTGGGGGGCATGCAGGAAGCAGCCGATCAATGATTCTCTCTCATCATTGGTGTTTCTCTCTCTCCCTCTCCCTTCCTCTCTGAAATCAACAAGAAATATATTTTAAAAAAAATGATGAGAGAGAATTGTTGATCGGCTGCCTCCTGCATGCCCCTTACTGGGGATCGAGCCCGAAACCTGGGCATGTGCCCTGGCCAAGAATCAAACCATGACCTCCTGGTTCATAGGTCAATGCTCAACCAATGAGCCACACTGGCAGGGCAGTACACTTTAATTTCCTTCCTCCTAGCATTTGTTCTATAATTTACATACATTTTGCTTCTACATGTAACCCTATAATACAGTGTTATTGTTTTTGCTGTAATAGACCATTTGTCTTCTTAGAAAAAAAGAAACAGTAGACTGAGGCACACCTCCTTTCTCTGCCCACTTTAGAGTCAAGTATCAATCAATTATTTAATACTAGAGGCCCGGTGCACGAATGGGGTCCCTTGGATAGCCGGTTTTGGCCCGATCCCCGCAGGCCCGATCCCGACAGGAGGGAGCCTGATCCTGTGTGCTGAACATCTGTTCCCTGGTGGTCAGTGCCCGTCATAGCGACTGGTCGACCAGTCATTTGGTCGTTCAGTCACTTAGGCTTTTATATATATACTAGAGGCCCGGTGCACAAAAATTTGTGCACTCGGGGGTGTGGGGGTGGGGTCCCCCAGCCTGGCCTGTGCCCTCTCGCAGTCTGGGACCCCTCGGGAGATAACGACCTGCTGGCTTAGGCCTGCTCCCGGGTGGCAGAGGGCAGGCCCAATCCCTAGGTGCAGCCCCTGGTCAGGCTCAGAGCAGGGCCAATTGGGGAGCTGGGGCACTGCCCCGTCATGCACAGAGCAGGGTGGATCGGGAGGTTGCGATGCCACCCCTAGTCATGCTCAGGGTAGAGCCGATTGGGGGGTTGGGGCACCGCCCCCTGTCACACTCAAGGCAGGGTCAATGGGGAGGTTGCGTGCGGCGCCACCCCCTGTCACTCACAGAGCAGGGCCAATCAGGGGGTTGGGGCGCTGCCCCCTGTCACTCACAGAGCAGGGCTGATCAGGGGGTTGGGTGTATTTCCCTCAGCCCGGCCTGCACCCTCTTGCAATCCGGGACGCCTCAGGGAATGTCCCACTGCCGGTTTAGGCCCGATCCCACAACATCCCTCTCGCAATCCAGGATTGCTGGCTCCTAACTGCTTGCCTGCCTGCCTGCCTGATTGCCCCTAACCGCCTCTGCCTACCTGCCTGATTACCCCTAACCACCTCTGCCCCCGCACCCGGGCTTCTCTCCCTCTGGCCGGCTGCAGGCACCTGGGACCCAGGGCAGCTTTGCCTGGGATACGGCTGTCAGGAAAGCCGTCCTGTCTATCCGGTCTAATTAGCATATTACCCTTTTATTAGTATAGATGATATATTGTCCTCTTCCTTTCTCTTTCTCCTGCCTGTCTTTAGGTAATTTCACTGCACCATTTGACCCCACCTCCCATCCAAGACTAGAGTTATAGAGCTCTGATACTCATTAAGTATACATTCAGAGTTATCCAGCAAACCTCACCCCACAGCCCCATTAACAACTGCTTACCATCCTGAAATTAGCCTTCTTATATTATGAGCATAGCACACACTGGTAATTTATTTCATTTACTATTAGTGAGTGTGAACATAGTTTTAAGGTATTAGATAAAGGGACTACTTGTGAACTTCTTTAGTTAACACTAATACCTTAGCAAAAGTGAGAATTCTAACTGTTCAGAATTTTATCTTTTAACCTATCATGATTCAAAATCTTTCCATAAAAAACATTGAAAGTCTAGTTCAAAAAAGAACCTATGGAAAAACCATTGAAAAGATATTATTACTCAACGATTTTAAATAAAAGTGAATTTTCAGATAAAATGTTTAACACTACTTGTTAATAAGAATAGCCCATTAGTTACTAATCTTCATAAAAAAGAAAACTTATTTATCATCACACCCTGGAGGCATGTTTTGGGTTGTTTTTTCCAGTAGCTTCATTATCTGGATTGATCATTCATGGTTACAATTCTATCTGGACCCTCTGATAGCAATACCAATTGTTATTGAGTGGATTTGTTAATATTAGGAATGCAGAGCAGCCTTGGCCAGATAGCACAGTTGGTTAGAATGTTGTTCTGATGCGCCAAGGTTATAGGTTTGATCCCCAGTCAGGGCACATCCAAGAAGCAACCAATACATGCAGACATGAGTGGAACAGCAAACTGATGTCTCTCTCTCTCCCTCTAAAATCAATAAGTTAAACAAATTTTTTAAAAAGAACGCAGTGTATGAAAGGTGTAAAAATTGTAAAAAGAACCTTAATCTCATTACCATAACCTCATACCAAATTAGATAACCCAATTCATTATATATGCATACACTAATACCACTTTAAAAGAAATTCCAGAAATCTCCCACCTCTAATTACTCACTCAGTCTCAAAAGGTTTGTCATGTTACTCTCCAAGAAACTACAATAATAGCAATTCAATTTTTAATTTATATTTAGCAAGAAATTAGTCTACGTACATTAGGTCCTACCTAGAGCTACAGATTTAATGACACGGAATCTCTACCTTCAAGCAACTTATGTATGTGAAACTTTAGCCCAAAGCAGAAATTAAGGTCCATATAAATCAGGTAGGCAATATAAAGAGCCAAGGGCAAGCACATAACCATTCTATATTTAAAAACTGGGTCTACACAGGTCAAGCTTTATTTGATGATAAGTAAAGAAAAGCACAAACTTATGAAAATATTTCCTAAAATAGAAAAAGAACATAATCCTAAAGAATCAGGAATAACTACATGGATCTAAACAAAATCATAGAGGTGCTTGGCAACGTCAATGGAGTGCAAGAAGCAGTTTCTTTGTAGCAGGAAAAAAACTAACACACAAGGAAAAAATTACATCTAATGGTTAAAATTTCTACTGGGCTCATGTATTAACATCCATTCTCTCCTGACAATCTGCTAAAATTACAGTAAAAAGGATGTTTAAAGACAAATTGACAAGATAAAAGACTAACAGCAGAGATGACAGCAGCAGTCACAAATGGAAGAGGCCATACAACAGATGCATGAATGGTAACTGACTTAGTGGACTACAGAGAGCTGGACCTATATCCAGCAGTAGGATCTCTCCTAAAATTTGGGGAGGGGCGTTCACATTATGACCATGACAGTGTTGTTCTCAGTATGAACTAAGTATAGTGAGCATAATCTCATGTCCTTAACACTGTGCCATTCGAACAAGAATGCATCAAAGTCAAAGAAGGCTTT